GAAAAGGTTAAAACCCTTTGAAAAAGTCACAACCCTTCAAAATAGCTACAACCTTTCCAAAAAGTCACAACCCTTCGTAAAGTCGCAACTCTTCCAAAAAGTCACAATTATTCATAAAAGTCACAACTCTTCATTTTAAAACCCAACAATCCCCTGTGTGAATGGGGAATGACTCTAAAACAAATAAATAGACAAGTGTGTACTTTACAAGCAAGAATTAATTGTATTTAGATAAGTAGGTTTTATTTTAAGCTTTTTGTAGTGAACAAATGTTGGACATACTCGGTCAAACAGTAGATTTGATATATTTAAACCATCGAGCTTTGGTGTAAACCTAAACAATGACATATCACATGATCAATTATTTACTGCCTATGGTTCTCACGATTTTGTTTGTTTCATCCATGAACACCTCATTGTTTCATGAGTGTATAGAGAATGGGCTTTTATATTCCTCGGCATAGATACACTATTTGGTCAAATTTCCAAACTTAGAAATCATTAAAAAACTTTAAGCTCTATTAACTCGCTAAAAAGCCATAATATTTTATTCTTGCTCATGAACATTATCTTCATCACGAGAATGAATTGAGTTATTTGATAATATGAACCATCATTCACAAATTTGTTTGATATCCTTGAACCTAGCTCTTGGGATCTCCAGTCTACTAGGTAGAGTTACCACCATGATGACTTGTCCTAAACCTTAAATCCATTCTCTTTGATGATCTCTCAACTCCCTCTCTAGTTAGGCATTTTTTAAGTAGATTCGACACATTATGCTTTGACTTCATATAGTCCATTGTGATAATTCTACTAGAGAGTAGTTCTTTAATGATAAGTCTATGTCTTATGTCATAATGTTTTCATTATACATCATGCTCCCTACACTATCTATTTGAATTTGACTATCACAATGTATGGATACTGGTGCCAAAGGTTTGAGCAAAAAAGAAATATCTTTCAAGAAATTTCGGAGCCATTCAGCTTCTTCATCGGATTATCTAAAGTGATATAAACACATAGTCAATTGTAGAGAGAGCGATACATGTCTGTTTGGAAGATTATCAGGAGACTACTTCTCTACCAAGAATAAATACAAACCCGTTCATTAATTTTTTAATTAATTTTGACCCGATGATTCAATTTGCATCATTATATCATTCCAATAGATCTGGATATTTTTTATAATACAATGAATAGTTTTGAGTATGTTTAAAATATCCCAAAACTCTTATTATTTTCATCCAGTGAGTTTAATTGTGATCACTCATGAACCGACTTAGTTTACTAATAGAATATGCTATATATAGTCACCTAATATTCATAATATACATCATACCTCTCAATACTCTTGCATAATCTAATTGGGAATCACTTTCACCTTTATTCTTTTGAAGTGTAAAGCTCGCATCTATTGGAGTTTTGCCAGTATTGAAATTCAAACACTTGAACTTGTCATATACCTAGGGATGGCAATGGGGCAGTGCAGGGCAGTTGTGTGGAAAACCCGCTTAAATCTGCTAAGATTTTGATCTGCCTCGGCCCGCTCCACATAGCATGATTAGTTGTTTTCAACCCACCCGCCCCACCCCGCACTGCATTAAAATGCAATTTTTTAAGCTCATCTTTTAAAAATTTCAATAACATATTTTTTGGTAGCTTTGAATTATGTACATTTGATGTAATAAACAAAAAATGCAAATAGTGACATACTTTTTTCTTCTTTCTAGTTTTTTAGCCATTCAACAAAAATTTAATAAATATTCAATCAGTTCCATTTTCACTTAAAACTCATCATATGATTAGTGCCCAAACATGTGCAGAACTGATACAAAATTTATGTGAAGCAATTTTAGGGATTATTCATCCCTAACCCACAACTGTCCCGCGCCGTGTAAATTTTGATAAAATATATTTTAAACCTACCCCACCCCGCTCCGCACCCGCAAAAGATCTAACCCTCCCTGCCCCACATACACTATAACCCGCCCCGCTTTGCTCCCGCCCTGCCCTATTGCCATCCCTACATGTACCTTTTGAATGTAATGAAACTTGAAAATGATAAGCCTTGTAGAGTTCTTAGGATTGTTATACCTAAGATCATATCAGCAACTCCAAGGTCTTTCATATCAAAATTGTTTTCTAGCATACCCTTAGTAGCATTTATGTCAGGTGCTACTAATGATCAACATTTCATCAACATACAAACAAATAATAATCGTGTAATTTGAAGTGCCTTTAATGTAAACGCATTTATCACATCCATTAATCTTCAATCTATTTGCCAAGATGGTTAGGTCAAACTTCGGATGCCATTGTTTGAGTACTTGTTTTAGTCCATAAAGTTACTTAACAAGTTTGCATACTTTATTTTCTTTACCAAGAACCACAAATTCCTCGTGTTTTTCCAACTAAATTTCCTCTTTCAATTATCCATTTAAGAAAGTTATTTTCACATCCATTTGAAGACCATATACCACAGCTAGTTCGATTAACATCGAAATGGATGTAATCCTACTTAGAGTGAGTATGTGTCAAGATAATCAAGATCTTCTCTTTGTCTAAAGCCTTTGACGGCAAGTCTTTCTTTGTACTTGTCAAAAGGTTCATTAGCTTCTTTTTTTTTGAGGATCCACTTTGACAGGTTTATTTCTTGGAGAAAGATCAACCAACTCTCAAGTATGGTTTCTCCAGTTTGAATCAATCTCACTATTGATAGCCTTTTTCTGTTTGCAAAAGATATAACTTCTTTGAATGTATGAGGCTCATTTTCAAGAAAAAAATGTTACAAAATTATATCTGAAGGAAGTGGATGTCCTTCTAAGTTTACTACACCTTGGAGACTATTTATAAAGTATATTCTCATTTGGTTCTTTCTGAGGTCGTTTAGACCCTACCCTAGACAATTCAAGTCTAATTTTATACAGATACATGTGTTCAAAGAACTCAATGTTATCTGATTCAATTATCATATTGCCATGCATATCTGGATGTACAGACTTATGAATCAAAAATCGACATGCTTTACTATTTGTAGTGTATCTAATGAAAACATAGTCCACAATCTCAAGTCTTATTTTAGATCTTCTTGGGGATAGAAACTTGGACTTTACCTAAATATCCCCACATTTTGAAATATTTAAATTTTGGTACTTCCTTTTTATTTCTCATAGTAGGGGGCAGTGGTTTGATCGTTGATACTATTCTCCAAATATATATTTTCAATAGGAGATTCATAATCTCCAGCTCTATCACTTCTTATTATTTTTAATTTTTTAACCGACTAATTTTCAACTTAAAGTTTATATTGTTTAAATGCTTATATTACTTCATTCTTACCATTCAACAAATAGACATATTGTTGACTTTACATAAAAAATATCAGTGTGAATCAACTCTAGAGGATTGAAATTCCTTTCAACAAATTTATTAGAATGCTTAGCATTGAAATCAAAGTTAGGTACAACTTCTAAGTTGATAAGTTTTGTAAGGTTTTGTAAGTGACATTTCCCAAGTGTTCATGCCATAAACTATTTGACTAAAGCAAGTAAGAAAAAGTAGAAATATTGAGTTTGAGAAGACCCTCCGTGAGGTAACCTTTTCATATGAATATTTTATTCTTACTTATTACAACTTTATAAGATACAAACATTGTTTAAAGTGAACACCTTGCCAAATATCCTTTTCAGAAGGATCTTTCCATAACCTTCAATATTGGCTATTGCATAATGACCAATGAACATAGTCTCATTAGGTCCCATTAGAGCATATGAACCAAACTCTTCTTTTACAACATAAATATGACATATGAATTTTCACCAATATTCATGTCTATACAAATAGTTATGTTTTAATAGACACATCTTTTCATGAAAAATCACAATATTTTATGTGATACTCTTTCATAAAAGAACACAACTCTTTTGAACAAGTATATATTTAATTTGATGGTCTTATACTAGTCATATCATATACTAGTAAAAGAAAAACTCAATGACCATAATATCAAATATACTCCAAGAATTTTGTGTGTCTAATAGAATCAAGTATCTGAAAATAATTTTTAACATATTTGATTTTTTCTGTTTTCAAAATCTGAGATTTAACAAAAGATGAGGTTCGAATATAAAAGATTTGATGCACTCATGGAATTTTTTATATTTTCAAACCGAGAACCAAATAAGTAGAAAATTATGAAGATTTTAATCTCAATTAGCGGAATAGAAAAATATGTAAATTTTTGTAACACCCCGTATTTTACGTGTACAAGTCCTACACATATGGAACTTGATTTAGCTTGGTGGTATAAGTAATGAACTTGATTTCCTAGATGAATGGTGACAATAAAGAAGCTATAAGGGTAACTCCCGTACATTGCAATATTGCACGATCGAGTGAACGTCAAATTATAGAAGTATTTAAATTCTGGATCGAAGGGCTATATGTAAGTCTAAATGTTAAGGTGATCAAGTGTATATAAGTTTTGAGTTAAATTAAGGAGATTACGCTCGGAAAACAAATAAAAGAATTGAAGTGCTTGTTGGACTTTACAAAGCTAGCAGGTGTCACTTACTTGCTTAGCTCAAATGGGCTAGGTAGATGGGGATGATTAGTTCATGCATTAGTGGGCTCACTTGAGACCCAAATTAAATAAAAGGAAAAGGGAATGGAGATGAGGCCTCACACCAATCTGTCCAAGTCCAACTACTTGAGCCCAATAAAGACTAAGGCCCAAATTAAGGGTATAATTCTGGCCCATGGCTTAATATTAGAAAGGGGAAAGATTGCATCCCAAGATGAGTACATAAAGGGCCCATTTTGTGTATATATAATTCCAAGAGGTGCATCACCTAGTTGGACCAATTTGACAAATTACTGGCTGATATTAAAACATAAGAGGTGGGGAAAAGTAAGACCTTTATAATCCCCAAGTTGCTAGCCATTTCCTCACTTTTAAGAAATAGATAAAAATCAGATTCGTCTCTAAGTTTCTCCTCTCTCTTTCAAAGCATAGCAGCAGCCACAAGTTTCCTAGGGTTCTTGGATAAACCCAAGCCCTTGCAAGGTAAGATAAGTGGAATTACAAATGAATTTAGCCTAATACTCCCATGGAATGCTAGATAAACATGTTAATTAGTTAAGAACAAGTAGAGGACTGAATCTGTCAAAAGTTTAATTGCTCACTTTCCTTTGTTATTGAGAGGCGTTTCTCTTTTTCTTTGGCCTATGTGAAGGGAAGCTCAAGTTATTGAACAGTTAAAATTAAAAGAAAAATGAGTTATAAGAATTAAGGTAAAGTGATTGCCCTATATTTGTATTCCTTAAACACGAGTCTAAGTATGATATTTTAAGTGTATTATTGATAAGAACTCGTGGGATGATGATGGGAAACTATGGTTTCATGTCCTCTATTGTATGTTGGATTGTTAGGACTGTTTTTGGGATAGGTTGATGTATAAACATATTGGGGACAGCTTGGTTGATATCTGGAAAGGGTGTAAATTGATGATATTGAAATATAGTTGTGTAGTGTACAAATGCAATAAAAGAAGGCGGGGATTGAAAGAACAACCTTAGTTTGGTAATTACGGGTTTGCTGCCCGAGCATTATTGTTGAGTGAGATTGGACTGCCTAAGCATATTTAGTAACTACTAATACTAGTTTATCACCTACTCTATTGTAGATAAGTATTTGAAAAGAAAGGAAGGTACTTCAAGGTAACTACAAGGTGGTACAGCAAGGTATGTAAGGCTTTTCGATTTCCTACTAATTGGCATGAAATATTGACTCGTCCTCGACACATTGAGGCATCCTACCAGCTCCAACACGACTTATGACCTTGTTCTCACTCTTTAACATGTCTACACGTTCCAATACATGTTCATTGTCAAATCTGTACATATACATTAAATACCCTGCATGAGTTCTCCTTTTAACTAAATAAGGTCCATATATTATTTCAGCTCTTATGCATTTCACTAATTCTGTAACTACTCTCTACTTTGTTATTCTTGCATTATATGATTATTACATGTCACTTGTTGACTACATAGTCCCACAACTCAAAAATGCTACGACCACCAAAAGAATCATCTCAAATGTTAATGGAAAGATATTAAATGAATCTACTTATTGATGGGTGGTATCCCAAGGGTGGAAGAATCACCTAGCATGGGTTGATCCCAATATTACGGGTGGTATCCCAGAGGTGGAAGTATCACCTAGCATGGGTGTATCCCAATATTACGGGTGGTATCCCAGGGGTTAAAGGAAAGCCTAGCATGGGTCGATCCCAATTTATATGTCTACCACTGATCAGCTGGTCATTTGTATTATATGTTGTGCACAGAGTGTAAAGTAAAGAATGATAAAGTAAAGAAAAGAATGTAAAGTACCTGATTCCATAATATGAGAAAAGGTGGTCTTGTATTCTTACATTGGTATATGATTTCATTTGAGTTCTTATTTCACGTACAGTACTTTATGCCTTACATACTCAGTACATTCTCCGTACTGACGTCTCTCTCGGGGGACCTGCAATTCATGCTGCAAGTACAAGAGCTAGTAGATCTCCCTAGTAGGAGAACAGGACATCTAGCGGCTATTGGTGAGCTCCAGGTTGATTTGGGGCTTTCCGAGTCTATAGCATGTATTTTGGTATTGTATAGTAGTTGAGTGTAAGGCAGGGCATGTCCCGACCTTAGCCCCATAATGTTTTTTCATTTAGAGGCTTTGTAAACTATGTATAGTGAAGTATGGTTGTGCCTCTTGTCTTAGACATCATGGTCCCAACGACCAAGTCATGTGCACTTTCTTTTGGCTTGTTAATACTGTCTACTTCCATGAAAACTTGTTATCCTCTATGGCAGCTCCTTTAAATGTTCATAGATAGAGCATGATTACAGGTTGGTCCTCCCGAGCCTTCTCAGCAACGACGGGTGCCGGTCCACCTTAATGGGATTTTAGGCATGACAAAAGTGGTTTCAGAGCAGGTCATCCTAGGGAGTCTACAAAGTCGTGTCTATGTAGAGTCTTGCTTATGGATGTGTTGTGCACCACATTTATAAGCAGGAGGCTACGTGGCATTTAGGAGCTGTCCCTTTCTTTTCATTCTTTAGATCGTGCTATAGCACCAAATGTTGTAGGTGGACAATGCTTAACCTCTTAATTGTTTTGTTATAAAACAAATGCCGCAGAAAAGGAAAAGTAAAAGAAAAGGAAAGCAAGTAGAAGTGGCGGCTGGAGAAGCCAGCCAGAGTACCCTAGGTGAGTCCCAAGATAAGTCTCCATCACAAACATTCCCTACTCCTCCACTTCCTGAAGAGTTGAGAAGGGATGGAGTTCCCCCAGAACCATCTACAGATGCTACCGTACAAGATTTGAGAAATGCGGTTCAATTATTGACTCGTATAGTTGCTGGCCAAGGTCAAAGGCAAGAAGGCCCAGTTACGGGTATTGGTGGTGCAGATAGGGCAGCTAGCACGCGGATACGTGATTTCCTTAATTTGGACCCTCCATCATTGTCTGGATCAGATCCTAATGAAGATCCGCAAGACTTTATTAATCAAATCCAACAAACTTTGGATGTTATGCACGTGAGTGGTAAAGAAGTTGTTGAGCTAGCCACATATAGATTAAAGGGTGTGGCTATATTATGGTATGAAACTTGGGAGCAATCTAAGAGTACAGATGCACCTCCAGCTACTTGGAAAGAATTTAAAAATGCATTTCTTGATCATTATTTGCCATTGGAGATTCGAGAGGCCCGCGCAGATTAGTTCTCAAATCTTCACCAAGGGGGTATGAGCGTGAGAGAGTACAGTCTCTAATTTAATTCCTTGTCCAGGTATGCTCCCAATGTAGTTGCTACTATAGAGGATAGAGTTCATCGATATGTGGATAGATTGGATTCGTATCTGGTTAGTGATTGTACTATTGCATCTTTAAATAAAGACATGGATATAGCAAGGATGCAAGATTTTGCACAGAAATTGGAAGACCAAGTCCAAGAGGGATAGGTCTACCGAGCAGTTTACACCACCTCAAGGTGAGTTTAAGCCTCGGTTTTTTAATAGACCAGCTAGGCCGTCATTTCCCTACTCTACAGGTATCACTCCACCCCAATTTCAAGGGCCGAGAGGCAATCAATTTAGGCAAAAGAGTGTGAGCCAAGGTTCACGGACAGCAGGATATCCAGAGTAGGGCAGTACAAGCCAATTAATGCCTCCTAGGAAGCCTTGTAAACAATGTGGGAGGAGTCATCTAGGTATATGTCATTTTGAAACAGATGCATGTTATTTGTGTGGTATACCAGGGCACCTAATGAGAGATTGCCCTAAAAGGCGCATGGGTGATATAGCACAACCTACTGGATCAGCTGTTACATTGTCATCATCGGTGCCTCCTTTAGGTAGAGGTCTACAGGTTCCTACAGGTCGTGGTAGAGGTGTTAGAGGAGCAGTTAGTTCTAGCAGAGTCCAAAATCGCACATATGCTCTAGGGAGTTGACAGAACTTGGAGGCTTCACCTGACGTAGTAACAGGTACATTGTTCATCTTTTCACATAATGTATATGTGTTTATTGATCCTCGTTCCACACTATCGTATATCACTCCACTAGTTGCTGGGAAGCTTAAAAAGAACACCAAAATTATTGAATAACCATTTGAAGTGTCTACACCAACCGATGAGTCTATTATAGCAAGAAGGGTCTATTGTAACTGCATAGTAACTGTTTGTGATCGTGATACATTGACTGACCTAATTGAACCAGAAATGGTTGAATTTGATGTTATAATGGGTATGGATTATGAGTCTATTATAGCAAGAAGGGTCTATTGTAACTGCATAGTAACTGTTTGTGATCGTGATACATTGACTGACCTAATTGAACCAGAAATGGTTGAATTTGATGTTATAATGGGTATGGATTGGTTGGCTTCTTGTTATGCCACGGTGGATTGCCGAACTAAGAGAGTGCACTTTCACTTTCCAAACGAGGCAGTCCTTGAATGGGAAGGTACTGTTGCAGCGCCAAGGGGTAAGTTTATTTCTTATTTGAAGGCGAGGAAGATGATGTCAAAAGTGTACATATGTCATCTAGTTAGAGTGAGAGATGTGGAGGCAGAACCACTGATTCTTCAATCTATTCCGGTAGTAATTGAATTTATTGATGTGTTTCCTGAAGAGCTTCCAGGTTTACCCCCAGAACGAGAAGTAGAATTTGGTATCGATTTAATTCCAGGCACTCAACCTATCTCTATTCCTCCGTATAGAATGGCCCCGGCAGAATTACGTGATTAAAGGACATTAAGGACTGTTAGAAAAAGGGTTTATAAGGCCTAGTGTGTCCCCATGGGGGTGCACCAGTGTTATTTGTACGTAAGAAGGACGGCACGTTAAGAATGTGCATCGACTACCGACAATTGAATAGAGTCACAATTAAGAATAAATATCCCCTCCTCAGAATTGATGATTTGTTTGATCAGTTACAGGGTGCCAAGTTCTTTTCAAAAATTGACTTGAGATCAGGTTATCACCAAGTGAGGGTGAAGGAGAAGGATATACCCAAGACAGCTTTTCCAACACAGTATGGTCATTTCGAAGTTCTCGTTATGTCATTTGGGGTAACAAATGCACCGGTAATTTTTATGGATTTGATGAATAGGGTGTTCAAGCCATTATTGGATGTATTTGTGATAGTATTTATAGGTGATATCTTGGTGTATTCAAGATCAAAAGAGGACCATGCAAATCACTTACGACAGGTATTACAAGTTCTTCGTGATCGGCGGTTGTATGCCAAGTTCTCTAAATGTGAATTTTGGTTAAAATCAGTGGCGTTCTTGGGTCATATTGTATCTGATGAAGGAATAAGGGTTGATTAACAAAATATAGAGGCTGTGAAAGATTGGCCAAGACCAACAACACCCACAGAGGTTCGTAGCTTCCTAGGGTTGGCAGGTTATTCTAGAAGGTTCGTTGAAGGATTTTCTTCTATTTCTACACCTTTAACTAAGCTAACACACAAGACAGCTAAGTTTCAGTGGAATGATTCATGTGAAAGAAGCTTACAAGAGTTGAAAAGTAGGCTAACTTCTGCACCTGTATTAGTACTTCCGGAAGGCACAGAGGGGTATGCAGTATATTGTGATGCTTCAGGGATTGGTTTAGGATGTGTACTCACGCAGCATGGTAGAGTAATAGCTTATGCCTCAAGACAACTGCGGTCACATGAGAGAAACTACCCAACCCATGATCTTGAACTAGCAGCGGTTGTATTTGCTTTAAAGATATGGCGCAACTATTTATATGGGGTTCACGTTGACATATATACAAACCATAAAAGTTTGCAATACATCTTCAAGCAAAAGGATCTGAATTTGAGGCAGTGAAGATGGTTAGAGCTAATAAAAGATTATGACGTTGATATACTATACCATCCAGGGAAAGCAAACGTAGTAGCCGATGCTTTCAGTCGCAAGACAATATCAAGTATTAATGAGCAAACCGTGGAAAAAGAAGGGATGGCGAAGGATCTACGTCAACTAGCTAGTTTGGGAGTTCGTCTTCTTGAAACCCCAAAAGAAGGGATTGTAGTGCATAATGCGGCAGAATCTTCATTAGTAGTTGAGGTGAAAGAGAAGCAGTTCAAAGATCCTATTCTATAACGACTAAAGGAGAAGGTAAATCAAGGTACGATAAAGGAATTTGAGCTTACACAAGATGGAGTACTTTGTTG